CTCAAAAAAAAAAAAAAAGAAAAAAAAAAAGAAAATCTTAAGAAACCCACTAAAAAGGATCAGAGCTAACAAATGAGTACAGCAAGGTTGCAGCATGAAAGATCAATGTATAAAAATCAATCATATTTATACAGAAATTAAATAACTTATTTGTTTATTTAAGACACCCTGTGTTCATGTACTGGAAGCCTTGATACTGTTGGGATGGTGATGCTACCTAAGATGATCTACGGATTCGGTGCAATAAAATTTCCCTATAAAATCCCAGCTGGCTTTTTTTGTAGAAATCGAGAAGCTGATCCTAAAATTCATATGAAAAAGAGACACTGAATAATAAAAACAAACTAGAAAAAGAACGAAGTTGGAGAACTCACAGTTCCCGATTTCAAAAGTTACTACGAAGCAACAGTAATCAACGTTGTATGGCACTGCAGCAAAAACAGGGAACAATGGACTGAGAATCTAGAAATAAACTCACACCTTATGCTCCGCTGATTTTCAACAGAGGTGCCAAGGCCATCTAATGGGGGAAAGAACAATCTGTCTCTTCAACACATGCTGCTGGGAAAACTGAGTATCTACATGCAAAGAATGAAGCCGGACCCCCACCTCACACCATGCGACAAATACCAACGCAAAATGGATCAAAGATCTAAATGTAAGAGCTAAAACTACACAGCTCTTGGAAGTTTCTGTGAACTTCAATTAGACACCAGTTCTTAGATAACGACACCTAAAGCACAAGCAACCAAAGAAAAAGACAAAATTGACTCCATTGAAATTTAGAACTTGTGCTTTCAATGACACTATCAAGAAAATGAATACTTTATAGAATGGGAGAAAATATTTGCAAATCACATATTTGCTAAGGGCCTAGTATCTGGAATATATAAAGAACTCTTACAACTCAACAGAAAAGACAAACAGTCCAGTTAAAAAACGGGCAAAGCACTGGAACAGACATTTCCCCAAACATACACAAATGGCCGACATCCACAAGAAAAGATGCTCAACACCATCAGTCACGAGGGTAATGCAAAAAACACAACGAGATGACGACACCCACCAGGATGTCTACAGTAAGAAAGGCAGTCACCAGTGTTGTGCAGGGCGTGGCGAAACTGCAACCCTCACTCGTTCTTGGTGGGAATGGCAAATGGTACAGCTGTTTCGGAGAACACTTCGGCCGCTTCTCACAAAGTTAAACGTGGAGTTAAAAAATACGATACGGTAATTCCGTTCCCAAGAACACTCAAGAGAACTGAAACTATACATTCACTCCGACACCTGCATACAAATGTTCACAGCAGCATTATCCGTGACAGCCACCGGGTGGAAACCCCCCACGTCCAACAGATGAACGGCTGAGAAAACGCAGCACACACACACACGGAGAGTGTTATTCGGCCACAAAAAGGAACGAAGTCCTGATGAATGGCCCCATGTGGATGAACCCTGAAGACGTCGTGCTAAGTCAAGGAGCCAGATACAAACACCTCCTATTATACGGTTTTATTTATAGGAAATGCCCCAAATAGGCAAATCCATAGAGACACAGGGCAGATTTCCTGGTTTTCAGGCTGGGGTAAGAAGTTACTATTAATGGGTGTGAGGTTTCTATTTGGGTTGATGAAAATGTTCTGGAATTAGACAGTGGGGACGGCTGCACAATCTTGGGAATACACTAAAAACTACTTAAATGTATACAAGGGTAAATTTTATGGTATGTGAATTATATTTCAACAATTAAAAGAACCCTTCAGTCCTCTACTGATCTGCGTGTGGCTGCCGCAGCGAGCCCCATCCGCGGCAGACGCTCGCTCCCATCCCTCAGGCCGGCCACTGCAGGTTGGGAACTGTCTGCTCAGACACGTTTACAAATACTGAAAATGCTTCAAGCATCCAATTCAATGTGACAAAATATGTCAATACTTTCCTCATTAATAAAGCAAAAATTATTCCATTTACACATGTAAAATTGCTTTCACCCA